CTGAAGACCCTAGACCATCTGTACTAAATGGTAGCTTCCACTTTCGTGTCGGCTCGTCCTTGTACATGCCAATATTCAAGTTCGATAGCACCCAAACCATGTTGAGCCACCAGAACCAAGCAATCCTGCAGTAGACGTCGAAGCCTGCTGAAATCCTAACTAACATGACATGGAAGATTGCTAAAACTATGATCCTGCTTCATGTGCCCTATCTGTGAACCTCAAACCCACCAACCCCCCACTCCCACCCCCCCCCCAAAAAAAAATTAACCCTCCCCCCAACCCCTTAACCCTAAAGGACCAACCTGCAGTTCCGAGATCAAAGATCGTTCCCGGCCGCAGACGTTGCCTGAGTTGCTCTCAAGGAACTTAAGGTTGAGGGTCTAGGGTTAATTCAAGGCTTAGATTAAGCTACCAGTGGTTCCATAGGGGTTTAGAGCTAATGGAACTTAAGGTTGAGGGTCTAGGGTTAATTTAAGCTTTAGATTAAGTTACCAGTGGTTTCATAGGGGTTTAGAGCTTGGATTTTAGGATTTAGGGTTCGAATTACTTGCCAGGAAGCCACATACAGTAGGGGGTTATGTTGGGGGGGGGGGGGATTATGATATAGGGGGTACACAAGAATATCTTACCCCCATGATGAAGAATCCAAAGGCAATTGAACACGATACATACATACATACATACATACATACATACATACATACCTGTATATAGATAGGTTGTATAGGCGGCACACAAGGATACACGGGAACAATGGAGAATCACATGGAAAAGAGCTTGGAAAATGTGGAAATTGCCGCCATATACAAGCCAGAAGAACTTGAGCTAACTTACTCAAATAGGGAAACCGTCTAGACTACCAGGTGTGTTGATTTGATGCCCTAAACCCTAAACAACCCAGTTGCAAGAGCCGCTGGTAGTTTGCCAATGAGATGCAATCCTTCAGCTTGGGGGTCTATTTGGAGGGTCAGGAGGACTTAGCAAGTGTAGGGTATACGGTTTTGGGTCAAGGGACTTAGTTCATGGGATAATAATGGGGATCTTTGGGGTTATTCTATGGCTTGTGAAGGTTCTTAACCTACTCACTAAGTCACCCTGGAGCCTTAGGGTTTAGGGCTTGAGGCTCAGAGCAAGGGCCTACGGGCTTAAGGACTGCCATCGGGCTTCTGAAACCCGAGTGGGCATTCTCCTAATGTTAGACACCTCGCACATTCAATCACTTAGCTATCCAGGCCTCTTTGAGTTAGCGATTCCTCAAAAGACTGCTCACGCAAAAACATGTTAACCAGCATCCAGAATCCTTCATTAGAACAGCTCCCCGCCAGCTGCGCGAACCACGCAATTCATTCGCATAAATCCCATTGTGCAAGCGCATGATGAACTCTTTGGAAAGTTTGGAGTCCCAGGAACGTTCACGGAGGTCCTGCCGGCATGGTGAAATGTCCTCTCTTCTTCTTCTTATGGCTATACCCACCCCCAAGACGGCAGGTTGGGGCTAAGCCCCACAAACTCTCCCTCCCTCTCTCTCTCTCTCGTTCTCTCTCTCTCTCTTTCTTCTTCTCACAGCTGCGCCCCCCCTCCGAGAAGGGAGACTTGGGCGTGCCCCGAGCTGGTGATGTCCGGCATCCACACGCGCATACATGGGCCCCAATGTGTCCGCATGTGCTCACCTAAGAATTGGGGAAACAGATGCATGACACCCAAATGTGGCCCCAACCATAAGCTTCTCCGCTTCTCAAGGCAGCTGTAAGACTTGAAAGGCGGTCTGTCCCGCACAGCTCCTCACAAGTCCCAAATACGCCACAGGACAAACTCTCACACCATTCATGGCACAGGGAAGTTGCTACCCACTTCCTAGACCCCCATCCACCCTCTGTTCTAACCCTAAATTAGGTACCATTGTTTAAAGGTACGAGGAGGGTCCCAGCGTATAATAAAGACAAACACAGCTTTCGCACGAGGATGACGAACCAAAGAAATGCATGGCATCAGTCACCCACCTGGTAGGCCCCAAAGCCGAATTTGCGTCAATGCCCGGGTCATGGCCCTTGCCAGCCAACAACAAGGTTCTTTCATGTTCTCTATCAATCTATCTATCTATCTATCTACCAGCTATCTGTCTATCAATCTATCTTTCTTTCTATCTATATCTCTCTTTCTACATATATATATATCTCTCTCTCTCTCTCTCTGCTAGCTCGTTGCAGAAATTGGCATTGTTGTGCAACATGCAATGTGTCCTGGAGCTGAACTTTCGAACCTTGCTCCAGCTGTCGAAGATGTGAGTTGTAATCATTGCGGTCATAATCAGGCGTAGCAGAGTGACCATTCAGGCCGGTCGCGCCATTCAACGAAGCAGACATGCCATTCAACGAAGTCGACATAACCATGCGAAAGGATGCAAAGGACCACTTCACCGCTTTAAGGTCCCTCCCGACCCGTGCGCATTTGCGTACGAGGTGCATGATTGCAAACGTCAGCTGTTTAACAGCCGACGCAGGCCACGCTGACTGTCTCGAGCGAGAAGGCTGCAGAACGCCACAGGCCATGACACTGCAAAAGCAACAAGAACATGGCAGCCTGTACATAGTTTTGGGGACTGGAGAATGCTCAGGCTTCAGATATCTGAACATCTCATTGGGCATGGAAGTGCTGCAGGACGGGCATCCAATGTAGGCCTCGTCTAGCGGCAGGCAGTCCGACTGCACTCCAGCATCCAGCAACGGCTCTGTCCCCACAGCGATGCCTCCCAAGACTTACTGGGGGTTAGTAGTAGGGATTATATGGGGATCAGATTCCCTGATTCCCTACTAAACACCCATAAGAAAGACTGCAACGAGTTGCCGTGTATGTGGTGGTTGAAGCATGCCACGACTTCAACATAAAATGCTACCAGCCACTATAGGGCTTGTGCAGGGCTTATGTGGGCATGATGAGCTACCTCCGTCAGTGGTAATGATCACGGCAGCACAAATTCACCACTGGCCTAGGCAATACTGTGCGATAATGATAGCTTGTTTGGAACTGTACCCTAAACCCCTGTACCCTGAACCCCAAACCCTAGTTTGGGCCTGGGAGGGGGGGTAGATACGAAGTCAAGGATGTACGAGCGAACCGCCGGTCATTGAAGACGCTGTTAGGAGGAGACAGTAGAGGAAGCAAAGCAAGCTAACAATAGCTAACATCACCCGTCCTAATTGGGGGTCCACCCCCCCAAGTGGGCTTAAGGTCTGGCCAGCCGGAAAAAAACTTGGTTTTCAGTAGACCTTGTGTAAAACCCCCCAGTAGCGGTATCCTCAGCTAGACGGGTGATCGTCCCAGACCGCTTCCATTCAAAAATCCTTGCAAAAGGAAAATGAAGGCAAAGAGCATGCAGATAGCAAGACACTTGGTTCCCAGCCCTTTTGGATTTCTGGTCCATCCAGACTCTCTGATATAACTCTACAGGGAGTGCTTCCAGACCCTCCACGGGCTCTTGCAGGCACAGACTCCCGAAACGGGTTACACGCAGACAAAGGGGAATGTATGGCCCGAAACGCATTGCACAAGGGCTAGTTGTAGCGGTAGTTCCTTAAACATTTCGGCTGAACAGACCTAGACTCGAAGTAGATTTTTACATCCGTGATTCTAGGAGACTCTGCCTCTGTAGGCCTCAGGCCTAAGCCCTGAACACCTAAGGACCCCCAAACGATTCAGGGGCTTTAACATGAATCAGAGCAAACGCAAAAGAGCCCCAAACTCTAAACGCCTGCCGCCAGAAAGCAACTCCAAAATCGCCCCCAGAGCGCACTAGACCTTCAAGAGACCCAGGGCCTCTGATAAGGTACATGAACCCCCTGAATGAGCCCTATTATGGGGTTCAGGGTCTAAACTCCTAGCATCCCCCTTGGCAACCCCTGTATTAGTCCCCTAAGTATATATAACCAACTTTAAGGATTTTAAACTTTAACCTATAGCTTAAGTGGGAATAATGGGAATCAGACTTGAAGGCCATTCTACAGGCCTTGGTATAACTCCTGTCAGGAAATTACGTGATATGTATCTACTGGAAGCCAAAACTTGAGTGGATTTGGACGCATACTCCAAATTGCCAGATGTCCACACAGGATCGCGACAAGTGCTGGCTTGAACTAGGCATCTTCACTGCATGTTGAAGTCAGATACGGCAACTGCACATCTTGAAAAAAAACACCACACTACACCCTAAATCCGCCATGTTCCCACAGACATTCCCCAAGAGCCACCATTCCCTGAGGAAATAAATGCTAGTTTACATGCCATTTCAACTTTTGGATACCTATCTAGCCCCCATATTACCCCCGGTGTCCATGTGATTACTCGTTTGGTTTTCCATTTGAATCTCCCTTGTCTGCGGTGTGGCAATATCACTATCTAACCCTAATACAACCCAAGCCGCCAGTAGTTTCCACTTCATCCGCTGCTTCATTCTGCATGACTGGCGAGCTCTCCATTGCTATTACCATTGCTGTTACTCTATTGCTATTACTATCACGATTACTCCTATTGTTCACAGCCATCATTGACCCTGACAGCAGCTAATTGCAGTTGCTGCCTCGGAGAAAGCCCGTCACCGGTGCCATGTCTCGGGCGCTCAGCGCGTTCAGCGCTGCCTGACGGCTACAAGTGATCGTGCTGCCGCTCAAGGTGTACATCTTCAGGATGAGTTGAGAGTTTAGCATCCTCAGTGGCTCCAAACCTAGCGGAGATGCAGGGAACTGCCTGTAGCCTACAGGGCCCCGTGGTTTCTTTTCTGCACGTGGATTCTAGGACATGTTGGCGCTTCATGAAGGAGCAGCAATGTAAAGGAACTGGCGTGCTCTGAGACGTCTATACATGTTAGCAGACTCAGCAAGAGAAGTCGCGCTAGGCGCAACAATGCTGGATGGTGATAAGAATGATTCGGGGCAAGCATTTGCCTGCTGCAGCACCTGCAATGCCATGATGCTGCTTGACGACTCTCAGTCGCTTCACCGGTCTCAGGCACGTTTCGTGACCCGAACGAAAACACTATTGACGTAGCGCGCAGCATTGTAGCCATAACAGTCCTCAGGAGCCGACAACGGGACTACTGGACATGGAGGAATGAAAGGATTCTCACCCCGTTGCAGGGATTTTGCTACGGTCCTGAATGTCGGTGTCAATCTTGTAATCATCAGCCCTTTCCAACATCGCGGCCTTGACATGATCTTGCTTCCCAATGGCAAAGTGGTCACAGGTGTACTCCTTGGGCTTGTCGGCGTTCATGCCGCACTCATCGGCCGTGGCCAAGTGGGTATCTTCGAACAAGACATAGTCCCCCTGGTCCATTCCCAGCTTCTCAAACCTGGCAAGGCAGTGCTACCCCTATGCGTCAGTCATCTCAATCCATCACGCGCGAGCTCAGCCCAAAAATGAATTCTCAAGGGCTGGCCGGCTGGCCCATAAGCAAGAACTATCAAGGGCTAAACCACCTATACCGATGTATCGACAAGAAACTGCTCCATGATCTTGCCAGAGTCCACATGACAGTCATCGGAGATTAGCCAAGGCTTTGGCAAGAGGAGATCCTTCAACTTGTCGGAGGCCTTCAGATTCTCATGAATTAGTGGCCTGAAGAAAACATAACTCCTCCATACGCATGTGATATTACAACGCAGCTCGGATGTTTCGAAATCCTAGGCCGACGGTCGACATGTTGCTCCTAACTTTGTGACAAAAGCCGCGCACGTGTCACATGCAGTGGAATGACAACTTTACCCATCAAAAGTGGCGACCATCACCGTCCAAAAACCAGCAGAAAAGGCGGGGTTTGGGAATACATGGTTAAGGCACGCAAATCTGAGTTTTGGGACCCTAAACCCCAAACTGATACCTCCTGTTTTCTGTTCCATTATCCGTACACTTCCCCTATATGAGCCCTATATAACTGCAAGCCCTGTATACCCGTTTCAGGGTAACGCCCGGAAATGGACTGAGTCCAGCCTGGGTAACGTCACACGTCACAAATTCGATGCCTTCTTCCTGGTGGAGTTGTTTCACCTCAGGAGGGTTTTGGGTTTAGGGTTTAAGGTTTAGGGTTTGGGGTGTCTCAGTGAGGGTGTGCGCTGGTGCTGGAAGCACCCAGGCGCGCACCCTGACCTGCATAAGCCCACCCCTGCTGGCGCTCCACCCTTGCCTCGACCTTTACGGGTTTAAGGTTCTCTCGAACTCTGATCGCGCTCCTGTCTTCTTATTTGTTCTTTGCACCCGTTCATTTCGAGATTGGACCTTGCCGGGGCACCTGTCTAGACCAGGATTGGAGGCATCCAGTCAAGGCGCCATCTGAAGATAACTAAAAGCCTCGCGCCAGACCCAAACCCAAACCTGAAACCCGTTTAGTCTGGACAAGTCCACCTGGTTCAAGGCTCGAGGGACAAGAACTTTGGAGCCAGATCAGCCCAAACCGTGCACAACAAATGGACCTGTCTATGGCAGGTGGGTGCAAGGTTTGGGCTGGGTCTGGCTCGAAGCTTTTGGTGAGGCTTTGTGCTTTGAAGCCCTAAGGCGCTCAGGGAGAGGCGCTGGGAGGCTGGGATCCTGGAAGGCCCAGCACGTTGGGTGGGAAGCTTTTCGAGCCATTGCCCCCCCCCCTCCGAGCTTTCAGGCCTCCTGGTCCCGAGATTTGCCGGAGGGGCCCCGAGGGGGCCTGGGAGGCCCAGCTAACAAGAATGATTTGGAGAATGGTGGTGCCCAAAAGGTCTTAAGGCGAGATCTAGGGTTTAGGGATTTACGGTTTCGATGATAACAACCAATTTATCTCTGGTTGTTTGGCTAAAGTACCCCAATAATGGAGCATCAAATGGCATCCTGATGTAAAGGTCATAGAACCTTAAACCCTGAACCCTAAAGTCACATCTGGTTGTAGGGGTCATAGAACTTACATCTGTTTAGCAAGGAGCAGAGAAAAGAATCCTTATCGCAGTCTCTATACAATCCCCGATCATCTAGCAGCTTCAACTTTCTCAGATCTTCTCTATTTATTCATTCATTCCTTCCTTCCTTCACTCCTTCACTCCTTCACCCATACATTCACTCAGCAACTCATACGTTCATCCATCCGTTCATTAATTCATTCATGCATCCGTCCATCCATCCGTTCTTTCATTCATTCATTCATTCATTCATTCATTCCTTCCCTCATTCCCTACTAACCAGAGGTAGGCAGGCAACGCTTGGACCATTCTGCCGTGTGCTGAAGCACCTCTTACTGGTTCTTAGTAGGGAAGACGGGAAAATAATCCCCATACAAGCCCTTCCCTACTAAGAACCAGTAAGCCTCTTGAATGATTAGCTTCTTGAACTCATGGCTTTTGCCCATTGCCCCTGCCCCCCCCCCCCCAGAGCATTAATCGCGGTTTTAGTGGCAAAGTGTCTGACTGAAGGACCACTAGGTGAGAGACACATAAACGAGGATGTTACCTAAGTATTTCCCCAAAACACGAATTTTCCTCCGCTTTCACCTCCAAACAATCCAATTCCTTTGCAGTTTCACCCTGAAATCAGGTGTTTTGGCGGTCTCTGAACTCCCCTTCTGCTAGCAACAACCTGTCAGCTTCCAAGACACCTCAGGCGCCCGCATGTCCTCGATGTCTAACGACACCACTCGAGTTGGCAGGCGCAGCGCCCTACACTGATCTGCAAGCCACAAAGCAGAGCCACCACCTGGGAATTGTTAGGGTTTAGGGTTTACCTAAGTGAGCGGTGCCCTTTGGGGGTCCCAATACTGAGGATTAGTGTATTCTTGGATCTACATTGGGGTCTCCCTATTTTGGGAAACTACCATATGGGGTATGGGGTTTAGGCTTTTAGGGCTTAGGGTTTTAGAGTTTAAGTCCCTTATGCATAGAGCTACTAGAACTAGGCAGAGCCACCTGGCGGGTGATCCTCCCAAACCCTCTCTATATATCATACATATATATATATATCCTCTATACATCATATATATATATACATAGGAAAAATGGAGAATCAAACGGAACATGGGAAATTACATGACAACCCTACCAGGGTTTGGGACCTTAGACCTTCCATCAATTTAAGATTCCGATGGGAATGGCGCTCTTCAAGGGGAAGGCTCTCTGCACATAGTTTTAGGGTTTAGCGGTTTGGGGGTTTAGTGTTTTTGGGGTTTAGAGTTTTGGGTTTTAGGTTGTTTGGGGTTTGGAGGGTTTAGGGGTTTGGGGGGTTTAGGGTTTTAGGGTTTGGGGGTTTAGGGTTTTGGGTTCAATTGCCATGTTGCTGGGCTGCTGTGAAGGCACTCAAACGATAAGTATACATCTCGACGTAGTGGCTTGATTTCAGTCCCTCAACAGCGACCCAAATAAGCCGTAAATTTCACATGTGATTTCTGCATAATCCACGTTTCCATGTCATGTTTCACTTGATTATCACGTATTTGGGGTAGTATGACTGATTATTCCCCGACCCTGCTGTAGTAGTAGTAGTAGTAGTAGCAGCAGTTCTTCCCATTTCATCTTCCATGTTCTGTTCCATTCGACTCTCCATTAGGCGGGGGGGGAGGAATATCCTTAGCTAAACCCTATGTACTAAACGGTAGCTTCCACTTGTGTTTCCATTCATCCCCTGTATATGCCTATATTTAAGTTCGATAGCACACAAAAGGCGTTGAGTTACCAGAGCGAAGCAATCCTGCAGTAGACGTGGCAAGCTCCACAAAACCTAACTTACATGACATGAAAGATTCTTCGAATTAAAATACCCTAAAACCTAAACCCAAAACCACCAACCCCCTCTCCAACAGCCAATAGACCCTAAACTGTGTTGCTGTTAAGGGACTTTTTTGAAGTTACCATAATGGGTATACATAGTAATGCATATGGTTTTCCCATTATGGTAACTTAAACTAAGTTCCTTAATAGCAACCCAGTAAAGACTCTAAAACCTACAGGACCAACCTGCAGTTCCGAGATCAAAGATCGTTCCCGGTCGCAGACGTTGCCTGGGTTGCTCTTAAGGCCCTAGGGTTTAGGGTTTAGGGTTTGAGGGTTCAGGGTTAATTTTGGAGCAAAAATGCACTTATGAAAGAGTCAATAATGAAGAATCAAATGGAACAGTACATGGAAATTACAATACATGTATGAATTTGTTTGTATATATATATATATGCACCCCCCCAAAGATCCACCGTTTTTAGTGTAAAAGCAGGTTTCAAAAGAAATTTATTGGGAAACTGGCCAAGGTGGACCTTGAAATTG